CCCCAAAACCCCAAAACCCCAAAACCCCTTCAAGTTAGGAGTTGTTAAATTTGAAGAACAATATTATTTGAATTTGATAAATTGGAAATGGCCTAGAACTAATATAAAACCTACAATAACACCTCAACTTATTTATCTGATAAACAAAAATCTATATAGCACTATGCATCATTCCAAGATTAAAATTAGCCTTAATATACAAGTAATTCCTATGAGAGTGCAAATCATTTTAATCTAGAGTAATTAAGAATGCATAAGTAATTACTAAGAGACCAGACTAATTTAATTGGCTTGGGTAATACAGGCCTCAATGCCCAAGTATTTTAATCCTAATAAAATACCTAGAGAATAGATTAGGCACCTTTAATAGCTAATGTGAAATAATCACCAAATAATAATTACAACAGTATCAATTAGTTTAGTAGATCAAAGTCTGCAATAGGCATTGATATGATATTCCCTGATAATTAAGAAAATTATGAGAGAAATTCTCCTTTTCTCAATCAGTAACTAAACATAGATGTTTCCAAGAGTGTTGATCTTCAAATGATGAGCCCATCTGCTTTGATTTAAAGTTGTTTGACATTTAGCGGTGATGAAATGACTGAAGATATGAATTTCTTATCCTAAGCAATGTAGCCTGATAAAGTGTTTGATTTGCCAATGGCATTACACAAAGTATAAAAGGCTTTTTAAAACTCAAATTAAAATGCTATGAAGCTTAAAGAAACTCTTGAATTAGTGTTATAAAGAGAGCAATAAACACTTGAGAAATATCAACTTTTAAAGAGAGAATTACAAAATAGCAATATCAAGCATGAATAGGATGCAGTTCAAATGAAGCACAGTTTCAAAGAATAACTCATGAGTTTTACCCAATCAGTTAATTAACTGTAAGTTCAGGTTTAAGAGAAAGAGCAAGCTCTACTTAAAATCAAAGAGTAATCGAATAAAATTTACAAATAAAATCAAGAGTTGAAAAGTTAACTTGAAATTAACAATGATCAGCTAGTTAATTCTGAAAACTAGAAAGAAAGTCTTCACAGCCAATTGAAAAGGAAAAATAAAGATTTTGAAGAACTAAGATCACAATTCGATGTTCTTCTAGATTAAGAAAACTTATCCTCCGAAGAAATTGAAAAAATGCAAAAACGATCTTAAAAAGAAGAGTAAAAGCTGAGAAATATTATAGATGATAAAAACATACTAATTGAAGTTATGTAAAAAGAATTAGAATGTGCCAAGCAAGAAAATAGACTGGCTGAAGACGCTAATGAAAAATTTATGCTTGAGCTAAAAAGAATCAAGAGTTCAATGAAAGAAGAGCTTGAAAGAAAATACTTGGAGTTGTATGAGTAAAAAAGAATACTTGAAAAAGAGAATGAGGAAATGAGATTTTAACTTGATAGCAAAGGGGAATTGATTAAATAGCTAGAGAAACAATATGAAAGAGCTTAACATGAATAGGAGAAATTAGAGGGATAACTTATATCAATTAAGAAAGATGTTAGCAAAATAAATGAAACTAATAGAGAAGCTTTTACTAAACAAAGAGAGAGCTTTGAGTAAAGAATCAAAGAAATGGAAGAAGAAGTAACCAAGGCATCATTAAATAGATATAAAATTGAGTTAGATTAGAAATAAAGGTTTTTAAAGATGACAAAAAAGTATGATGAGTAGCTAAGAGAAATGAGATAATGTCTTGGCTATGTATTTACAAGACTTGGCCTGCAAGAGATTCCGGAATTTTTAAAAGATGATTTAGCTTAGTCAATTAGTGAGCTGAAAATAGATAATTCTAACTTATAACTGGCTCTTTCTGAATTCAATAGAATTATTGAAAATATGAAAGAAGGACGAAACTTCAATGAAGACACTTAAAACATACAAGCATAATACGAGTAACTGTTAAAAGCTTACAAGAATGAGTTAAATGTAAGGAGAGGATTACATAATCAGCTATAAGAAATTAAAGGAAATATTAGAGTGCTATGCAGAGTGAGACCACTTTTAAATCATGAAATGAAAGGGAGGAAAAAGCATTAATGCTTGAAAATTCTCAATCATCATAGAGTTTCAGTTACGAATGAGTAGCAAGGAAAAGAACATCCATTTTAATTTGATAGAGTATTCGAGCCTAGCAGTCATCAATAAGATGTCTCAGAAGAAGTTGCTCAGTTAATTCTATCAAGTCTAGATGGATTTAATGTGTGTATTATGGCATACGGGTAAACTGGTTCTGGTAAAACTTATACTATGATTGGTGATGATGAAAATCCCGGCTTATACTTTTCATCTGTAGATGAATTATTTGATAAAATTCATGATCGCAAGAAACTGATTGATTACGAAATAGGGGTTAGTATCGTAGAAATATATAATGAATAACTTAGAGATCTCTTATCAAAGAAAGGCCATAATGTCGGGCAAGTAATTAAACTTAGAGATAATGGGGATGGGGAGACACTAAGTGATTAGGTGATTAAAACAGTCAAATCTAAAAACCAAATTTTGCATTGCCTGAGAGAAGCTTGCATGAACAGGACTGTAGGAGTTACTCATTACAATGAGTAAAGTTCAAGATCTCATTTTGTTTTCACACTGCATCTAGCAGGAAAGCATAGATAAACAAATGAAGTTTTCAGAGGAAGGCTTAACTTAATAGATCTTGCTGGCTCCGAAAGAATATTAAAATCATAAGCAGAAGGTGAAAGAATCAAAGAGGCTATGAATATAAATTAAAGCTTAACAACTCTTGGTAAAGTTTTCTTGGCACTCCTCAATAAAGCTTCTCATGTACCATACAGAGACTCCAAGCTAACTCATTACCTGAAAGACTCATTAGGTGGAGAATCAAAGACTATGCTAATTGTGCAAGTTAGTCCAAATGTAAATGACTACGGTGAAAGTCTTAGCAGCCTTAATTTTGGATAAAGAGTGTCTTGTATTGAGAAAGGCTAAATTAGAGCTACCATTGAAAGCCCTGATAAAATGATTGCACCATCAATGATTGGGAAAAGAAGTAAAAGTTAAAATAGAATGGAATATGAGGTCCCAAAAAATAAAAGCGTGACTCCTTAGAATAAAACATTCAGCGGAGGCTCTGGAAATAATACATTTAATTATAATTGACTCTGATACTACAATAAAATTCATAGTTTATCTTATTAAATTATAATTCAGTTAAACTTTCATATTCCAGAGTTCTAAAAGTTAAATTCTTTCAAACTTTCTACCGTATTTTTTTGTTATTTAGCATAGGCAGCACTAATGAGTGATTTTTCTACATTTGATGGTCCTGATCAAACTCTTAGTTTTGAGCTTGTTTCAATTCAGTTCCACTTCCATTTTCTAATTTCATTTTGATTTCATCTAGTATTTGCATGAATTTTTTCTTGGCATTAAGGGACGTATTCCTTTCTTGAAGCATTCTACTCTAAGTTTATCGTATTTAGCTTTAACTTTCAATCTCAGATCTCCTCTGCTAAATGAATATTCTCTAAGTGTTTGCACTTTGTTTGAATTCTTTAGATTCAAGTAAGAGTTTCCTGTCAATATCTCGGTAATTCACTTTTTATCCCTATCTTTATTTTATAAGTAAGGCATGACTATTATTCTTTTTTATAATTTGATTGAAGCCAGGCTGTTAAATAACTCTTCTTGAGCTATTTGATCTCATATCATCGTTAAAATTAGTAATGCACATCGGAGATAGCTCGCCTTAAGTTATTGCCAAACTCTACAGTTCTAGATCTCGCTTGTCTTAGACCATTTTAATCAAATCATCATTTTTTAGTTTCTCCTAGTTCTTATAGTATCGTTGTATTGTTTTCCTTAAGACCGACTGATTTGGATTCAACTGTAAGACACCCTTTCTGCATATTTCATGCACTTGCTTTAACATTTAATCTTAAGTTTTCTCCGTTTAGTCTGAGTCATCATGAGTTTGCTCATTTTCTTTATTATCAGTGCATTGTGATTGTGCTGGGTTATTCTCCTACTGTTAATTCAACTTCTACTAAAATGATTGAAACTGCTTTCCTGATAACTCTAATGGCTCTCTAGGAAATTTACTCACTCCCATCCTCTCCTTGATCAATTTAGCTAAAATCTTCTACCTTAAATCATTAGCTTGTTTGAAGAGAATCTACTGATCTCTGGGAGACTCTCTTCTGGTATTTAAGAATTCAGAATGCTGATTCTTCATTATTTATGGATTAGATAGACTTCCTAGTGATTGAAACTGCAATTGACCAAGTTAATTATTCTATATTTAAGATGGCAAATCTGTCGTTGAGGCCCCTTGATAGTGTAAATCTCTCAGTCTTGTTTATTTTACTTTATTTTATGAGTAGACCTGTTTAAGTCTCAGAACTGATTAATGTTTGCACTTAGATTGGTTTTCTATTGAGACTAGATTGATTTTTAAAGGAGAACTCGGCCTCTGTTATTAAAGTGAAGATTACAACAGTCTTCTTGTTTCAGGAGATGCTGTTTTTAGACGTTTTTGGGAGGAATGCAACTTTTTCTCAACAGATTCTAATTGGTTTTCTCTTTTTTCAGCTCTGGTTGGGCTTTTTGCTGGAGATATACTTGGTTAGATGCGAATGCCAAATTCTTTGGTTGGTGACTATTTTACATCTTTGATAGGACTTCCTTGCAAAGTTTTAATATTGCTTTAATTAGCTTTTTAAGTGCTTCCCATGATATGTATAAATCTCCTCGGGGAGTCCTAGTCCCAGGGAGCAAAGTTATATTCGGTCATATCCTTCAATAGCTCTACTTTACTCTTTTTTTTGCTTAGCAGGTTTCTGGTTTTAGGGGATTCATTCTCTGACATATAATACTCTTCATCCTTCTAATCCTCCTTAGATTAATAATCTTGATCAGTTCTACTTAATATATCTGATAAAATCTCTAATTTCTTTTTTGGTTGCTTTTCTTTTTTATGGGACTTAAATGTCTTTACTTTTTTAATCTATATATTGAATTTCGAAGTGTATTGAGGGGAGTGATTTTGCTTTGTATCGGAGATATTAACCTCCAATGTAGTTTGCTCCTCTGATGGGATGAGCATGACTATTTTATTAAATCTTATTTTAATTAATGGATAAATATTAAAAATTAAATTTTAAGGCAAAAATAATACGCTTCTAGCTTTGTTCTTAAAATTCATTAATTATAGAAATATCAAATTAATCCATCAAATCTGCAAAATTTTTTATCTATTTCAGACAATCAAACCAATTATACCGAGCTTCTTAGATATTTGAACTCTCTTTAAATGAAGTTTTCCCAATCAGCAACTTCGACTCTCAACTCCTATTTTAATTAAAGAATATACTCAAAATTACCTTTGATTTATTGTAGAGATTTTTGAGAATCTGTCCCTAAGGAACACTTTTAAGAATTTTCTTAGAATTGTGTATAGCAAGAGTGTAGAAATGTCTCTTTAGATCTTCATTTTCCTTGAATTTAAGAGCTTCTTCAGCCTCATTCAATAATTCCATATCCTAATTATCTTAGTTTTGATTATTGTTTGGTGAGAGGCCTTTATAATTTAGACCTGGTGCTAAAGACTTAGTCTGCTAGAAGTTTTGATTGAACAAAGACCCTACTGAAGATGCCCCACCAGTGTTTGATGAGAATTGACTGGAATTATCAGATATCTGATCGTTTTTGCTGCTGACATCTGAACTGATTTCTTAGATATGCTTATTTTAGACAAGTGGTCCCTTAGTCATAAGGTAATTTTTAAGTATCTCATTATGTAAGTTTCTCCAAACTTCAAGCTCTGCTTTTTATTTCTTTTACTCCTCATCCAAATACATGAATTAGTCTGCAGATATCAAGTTAATATGATCTGTTTTGGGCTAAGGTGACTTGAAGATTTAATCCTAAATTCTCTACTTTGCATCTGGGGATTAGGAATATGATCTTGGTGGAGGATGCTTATCAATATATTCTTCATCATAAATTTAATGGGTAAGATTATTCATTTGATGATCATCTACCTGTGAGAATAGTTCATACTGTTCTTCTTCTTTGTATCCCATAAGTTCATTATAGGTCTTAAGAGATTAAATTTTTTCCAAACTTAATTGCTGGAGCCTCTTTGAAGTAATCTGAATACTTAATTCTCTAGTACTTTATGGCTTAAATCCTCTAATTTTGTCAATGAGTTCAGAACCCATCATTTCAATTTCTCTTATATTCTAAATCAATTATGAAACATATATAATTTACTGTATTGTTAGTGAAAATACTCATTGTGAGCTGCTCTAAGTTATCTAAGTGTCTCATGATATTAAGATCGTTAGTTTTCGACTGTCTAACAAACTACTATTCTTCAAGTTGTTTTTCTTTTATAGCTTTATGAAGCTTAAATATTCTTTCATTAAGCTCAGAAATATATTCTCTTTCCTCCTTAATTTTGAATAATTATTCATCAGATTTCTGCTAATTTATGACATATTTGCCTTCTTGGAAATTATAGCTTCTTTCTAAATCTACTCTCATCATGTCGTCTTGATTAAGATAAGCCTAAAGTTCAATTGGGAAGTCACTTACTTCTTTAACTCCTGATGATTACTTATGCATATAATAATCATAGATAGAATTTTTGTCAGGAGATTAGATTTTTGAATTCATTAATAGTTCTTAGTTTTTAAGGCATTCAATTGAATGAATATCTACTTCATCAAATTTTACACATTCATAGCAGTTAACACATAAAACATCTATTGCCTAAGAATCGACTGGAAGCATAACAGGTGCATTTGCCCTCTGAACCTATTGGTTGTTAGATATAATCTTAGATGATTAAAAGTAATTCTTAAAGTTCATTTGTCTAATGTTCAGAAAATCAAGAGACTTTATTTGAGGAATGATATAGTAGTTTTGATGATGTGGAGATTTCATCGTACCCTCATCTATCTCAAGATTTTAGAGAGTTTCATCCATTATGTCAGTTTAAGTCTCAAATGTTGGCTGCTTAAGATAGTTAGCTTGAACCTTTTAAATATTTTTCTTTGTTTAAGAGTAGTCAGACTATCTTTCCATTTGGAATTCAAGTTCTTCATTGAAATCAAAGTCACTTTATATTTTATTAAGTTTGATTATGCTATTATCAACTGCTTGATTTCCATAGTTCCCTTGCCCATATGCTTATTCTTATTATGTGATTCTGTGTTCAAAGTCTTTGATTATTTCTTGTTCCTCAGCATCAATGAAATTTTCATTATTGCAATCATAAAATCCATCAGAATTGACAGACTAAAACTAACTAGTATTATTAAGGAACTGATTATTAGAGTTCGTAGAACTCATTTTCCTTCCTATGGCAGATGCTCCTCTAAAACTAGCAATTTTACTTTGATTCCCTTTATGTCCGCTTTGACTTGCTATATCATAAAATCTCGTGTTATTCATGCCATCAACTCTCTACGAAGTATTTAGAGATTGTACTTAATAATCATTCTTTCTTGAGTGATTAGAAATTATATTGTAGCTTATATTTTGAATCTATTATTGCTATGGTATTATAGTAGATTCATTTTCTAGTTTAGTGATCTGCTCCTTGTATCCTCTCAGATATTCATTCTTTATCTCAGTAAAATTGTCAATAAAAAATTCTCCAGTAAAAGCATCAGTCCAATCCTCTAATAGTGCAAATATCCCTTCCTCCTCAAGTTTTAAATCCTTTACAGTATCTCTCCAGATGTCAAACTCAATTATTTTATCAATTATACCATCATACTCTTCTTATGCTATCTCATCATCAATACCTTCCTAAGCTAGCAATACAACTTAATCTTGCACTAGTTATTCCATAACATTTTCTGAGTCAATTATCAGCTTCTTTTCATTTTTCATAGCATCAAAAATTACATCGGAAATCTAATTAAAGATTACATCTGATATTAAGGTATCTATAGATCTTTGCTGGGCTATCTAATCATTTTTTATTTAAACTAAATTGACTTAAACTAAAGATGTAATAAGCATATCCATTTATACATCAACCATTTCATGAACTATCTTTTTCTAAATCATTTAGTTTTCAGCTTTTACAGAACACTCTCTAAACATTTATTGAATCAGCTTCTCCTACACTTAAGTCACTGCATCTTCTGAATATTTTTAAGGAGAAATTTTACTAGACTCAATTACCTCTATAATCAAATCTCCCATTTCCTCTTAAATAAACATCTAGAAAAAGCTGTCTGCTCCTTTGATAAGTAATCTCTCTTTCTTCATTACTTACTAAGAAGTTACTCTAATTTAATCTTGCAATAAATCATCATAGATTTCTTGAGAAATTATTTATGGAATCTTTTTGCTTTGAAACTAAATTTCTTGCATTATGTTGATAACAATATCTTCTACCTCCTCAATGACAAAATTTTAAACCAAATTATCCTCCACATACTTATGAATTTCAAAGTTATTAGAAAATTGGCTACTATTGACTTTTTCCTTTTTAGGCTTTACTGCATAAGATTGGGGTACTAGCTACTACTATTATTTAGATTTTTCTACTTACTAAAAATTAGCCCGATTATTATACAAGTCTATTACTAATTCCTTAGTGAAATCATTTATCATATTTGAAACACAGATATTAGGATCCTCTTTCATTAAATGTGGTATTAAAAGACAATCATTCCAAATCTCAGAGCATAATATAAAGTTTACATTCTCTATTACATTTTCGTCAACATACTTTTTTAATGCTTTCTCTGCAGCATGAGATTAATCAGTGACATTCATGAATTCATTTAGGAATTATACCAAAACCTTTGGCAAAATATCATCATTATAAATCTCATCTGCTTTTTGCGTTAGTATGATCTGATTGCTTTTATTCAAAGTTTAAAAATTTAGGATTGAACTTCTAGCCATATCTTATATCATCTATGGGATAACTTATTCATAAAGTATTCTATCAAGAACAAATTAGACAATCTAATTTTTAACTCTCTCCTCTTTCCTATTGAAACCTGATGCAGCATTTACGCCAGAAAGGTCATCTAGAGAGATCTGATATTAATCGTTCTTGTGGTCAATTCTAGAGAGTTATAAGTCATTGGGAATGATTAGTTAAGAATTGTTGTTTTGATATGAATTTCTTGGCAGCTGATTATCATCCAGATGAAGAGTGTCATCACCTTATATAGCTGAGAGGAATTCATCTGAAGTATTATCTTAATGCAATCCCAAATTTCTAGAATTTGTTAATTATGATTTATTTCCAGATTAGTATTATCGATGCATAACATTTTAACTTCCCATAGCAGTTTTGAATGATTTAGTGTCCGCATTGTGATCGATTTCCGATAAATTCAAATCTAAATTTGTTCTAACAAGATATTTTTAGCTTGTACTGTTTATTGCATCATTGTCAAAATTTTTATATCAGCTATCAGCTACGTTATTTTAATTAATAACCTCAGGTTGAAAGCTAGCAGACTCCTCCCTTCTATTATTGTTAGCATTAAATCTTGGGCTATAAGAGACTTAGGATTAAGACACTGTTTCTAACCCATCGAAAAAATTAGCTCCAAGTCCGTGATTGTTTTAATTTCTTGTCTGCATAACTGAATTGGCTTAAGGTGTATTGTTGTTCATGCTCATAAAGTTTGGCTATGATTTTTTACTGAATGGATTGAAATAATCCTAAGAGAGTAAATTTTATGAAGTAACAGATTATAAGTCTCTAATTTCCTTTTCTTCCTCTGAGTTTTCATCATCATTCATGCCTCCAGATCCCTTCACAATTTAAGGCTGACTTAAGTTTTAGTAAGGCAAATTTAATGTCTTTTGAGCTTATAAGAATGGAAAATCTTATAATATCTGCTTTTATTACTGCTATTGATTCTTTGATTCTTCAATAAAGTTATTCAAATTGAGCATTTCATTCTGCTAGTTCTAATTGCTTCTTAAAGCATTTTTATCAACCCTTATATTGAAGGAAGGAGTATTATTTTTATCAACCCTTATATTGAAGGAAGGAGTATTATAAAGATCTATTTCGTTTTGATTCTAGGCTTAATCATAATGTCCTTGCACAGTTTTTCTTGTATAAATGCGTTCCCTACTAGTAGATTTTTCATTAAATAGATTAGCTCTTTTTCCGTTTGAATTTCCAGTAGTATTAGAAATTTGTGATAAGTCAATATTCATGATCTTTTATTCATACTTATTGAATTGTTATTGGCTTGCTATTGAACTTTTACTGTTTAAAGTAGCATTCATTTTATCTTTGGTTTCTTCTTTGAGGTTATTGGGAGTAATCTTTGCCTTAGAATTTTATTTACTAGAGGCTGCAATCTATGTATTTGAGGTCTTTTGAGTCTTTTATGAAGCTGATGAAACTAAACTTTGATTTGCCTAAAAAAGATTTCCTCTCTTTTTATTAGTTGAATGATTCATTTTTTGTAATTCAATTCAATCTAATATTTTACTGTTTAATATTTTTAAATTGCTTTCTCAGGGGTTTTGGGGTTTTGGGGTTTTGGGG